ATAAAAAAAGAGATAAAGTTGAAAATGTGCGAAACCGGAAGCAACATTACTACTTTCTGTTCCGATGGATGGAGATCTAGATCATTTGGCTGTTCCGTCAGTGTGTGAAATGACCAGTAGCTTAAGTACTAATACAATTTTTTTCTCGGAAAAACCTGAAGCATGATCTATCTTAAACAACTAAAACGTTGAATTACTTATCAATGAGATTGAACAAATCACACGGTTGGTTGGCAGATAACTTGTTGTTACGCGTATTCCCATCGTAATCCGTACGCTTGCCGGTCGGTGTGCCGAGTGCCTCGACAGCTGCCTCTTCAGCCATTGTAACAGAAAGCGAGTTTCCCCGACACACGCATCTACAGTTTGACGCCCAATAGCAGTACCACGATAACAAATAGTTTAACAGTACTTGCTTGAATAAAACAAATATATTGTGAACTAGCTTTACATGTAAAGCACATCTAAAAAAATGTTCAGAATACTGAGATTTTATCGAAAATTCTCACAACATTGTCTTTCCACTTCAAATTTTACCTACTTGTCAAAAAAATCCTGGCCTGCCTAGTATGGGGGTAACGGTCAGCTTTTGACCTTTCTAATAATGCAGCAGTTATTTCTGTACACCCTATCGCAACCGAGCAGTTTTTGACTGAAAAAGAGTGGCTCTGGCTAGGTTTCGATGCGAGTGCCGGTCGGACGCAAAATGCGTCATTTTCCCAAATTATAGAGCTATATTAAACATATTTCCACACGTCCATTCTATCCACGAACAACACACATATATTAGAACAAAACAAGCTCTTCAAAAACGTTTTTATTTCATTAAAATCAAGCAATCATGAGTGAAAAGCTACGTTTGTGAAGTTGATACCTACGACAGTTTTCCTCCTCGGGCGGAAGCACTCGACTTGCCGCGATCGGCGCACCGTTTGTGGTACCTAGTAATAACTCCTTACGCCAGGAGCTTCGTTAAACTGGCGGTTTTCCTCCAGTATTTTTGCAAAGTCCAGATGCATGCATATCTGTGTACGGTCCCGTAAGACCACGCCTTAGCGCAGGTAGGACGTACGGTCCTCTAGCGCCAAACACTATGGGGGAGTACGGTCCCCTAGCGCCACGCGCTATTGGGGCGTACGGTCCCCTAACAATAGCCTTTCGGAATACTGTCTATCGGTGTGGATGATCAAATTGATAAAAGCCAAGAAAAAATTACGTTATAGCACAAAAGTAAGCTAATTTAGATCGTCTTCAAAGATGCGAAGGCTATTTCACTTTTCAAATCGAGCCGAACTACGCGGGTCGCCATTTTGTTTTGCCCGGAAGTTCTCGCAAGATCTACTCCTCCCCTCTTCTCTCTCTCTGTCTCTTTCTGAATACTGTCTATCGGTGTGGACGACCAAATTGACCAAAACAAAGTTTAAAAATGATGTTAAAACACAAAAGTAAATTAATTTGGTCGTCTACAAAAATGCCACAGCTATTTTTAACTTTCTGAATCGAGCCGAACTCCGCGGGTCACCATTTTGTTTTGCCCGGAAGTTCTCACGCTACTCATCTCTCTCTCTTTCTCTCTCCACTGCCCACAGACATAATTGCACGCTTTTAGGCACACTAACAGTAGTAATAGATCTAGAACGTTTGTTCACTGCACAGAATTCTATAATTCTGTTATCACAGTGTAGAATTCTGTGGTTCAGGGTGAATAACGCTTCACTGGTTGGCCTAGGCTATAACGGATAACGGTGAACGCCCACCGGGTGAGAATAGCCAAAAGACTCGCCTGTGCTATTCTCACCCGGGGTGAGAATAGAGGTGGCCGAAAGAAATAGGAGAGAGAGAGAGAGAGGAGTGCCGAGAACTTCCAGGCAAAACAAAATGACGACCGGCGCAGTTCGGCTTGATTTGAAAAGTGAAATAGCCATAGCTTCTTTGTAGACAACCAGATTAGTTTACTTTTTTGTGCTATCACATCATTCTTTTTTTCTTTGTTAAAAAATTGTCTATTTAATCATCCGCACCGATAGACAGGTATTCCGAAATTTAAAGGAAAAACAGGTCTTGTTTCATATCGGGTGAGAATAACCTAGGCTGGCAAGTCTCACCCGAGGTGAGAAGTCGACCGTATTTTTATTTTTTCCCGGGGTGAGAATAGCCATTTCCTTATTCAGTAGTCTTTTTTTTTTTTACTGTTTTAGTGTTTACTGACCTGCTAAATTGTTCTCGGCAGAGTTGTAGAAAGGATCCGGGATGATCAAGCTTGGGGATAGCTAGAGAATGACAACTTAACGCCTTTGGCCGATATTTATAGTAACAGCCATCTTGTTAGACGTCATTGGGGGATTCCCACTTTGTCAGTCATGATGGCAACACAACCGCACGATGGCAGCCTGCCGGCTCGGATTAGTTTCTTTGCAACTTGCAGTACTACAGTGGAACTCGGATTTAACGAGCTCGGATTCAAAGAGAACTCAGATTCAACGAGAGGAGATAGATTCCCCGTTTTTTTCTCTTCTTTATAATCAATAAAAATAACCCGGATTCAACGTGCACTTAAATCAGCGAGCTCGGATTCAACGAGGTCGTTTCCAGGGTGAACAGCCCCCGTAGACGTGGCTTTGCTCATTTTCTCCCAGAATGAACTTTATCTATTCCTGGAAACCATCCATTGCAACTGTATCGTAATTGTGGAGCACCCTTCTTCCGCCCAGATTGATTCTGATGCTGAACACTATCTATGTAAACTCTGAGAAGATGAAGAAGACTAAGAGTAGGTCCTAAGTCAATTTGGATACGAAAGCAAGTTCATACAAAGTTCAACAACCCAGTGCAAATGATTGACTGTTTCGATGCGGATTGTTTCTTTTAAAGTTTTGTAAGCACTTGTGAGAAATTAAAATTAAGGCCATCATTATTCGGACTCTAGTCCGAATAACATTTTTTCATATTCGGACTCGAGTCTGAATATGAAAAAATGTTATTTGGACACGGTCTGGAAAAAAGGAAGTGTCTTTGTTCTATAGATCTAACGTTCAGTGCTTCCAATTTTCCGCCATTTTTTAGTTTCTCCCACACTTTATCTGCCGATCCGATGCCCGCCGCCTCATTGATACGCCCCACCCCCCATGTTTCCCACTTTCTTTATTGTATAAAAAGGTAAAATTGAAGATTAGCAGATCACCTGGCACCTGCATATTATGAGCTGTGTAACAAAAAAGACCGCTTCGTTCAAATGTTGTGCTGTGTAGAGCCGAGCATATGGCAACTTTTGATTCCATAGACCAGCGCACAATTCATTACGTAGATCTACGTCAAGACTAGCTTATTATTGTAATGATCAGTTGCCGGGGGGGGGGGGAGACTGACGCGTATGCGACGTTCAACGCCCGGACCGATAGTGCCCCCCCCCCCCTCCCCGACACGCACACACAGCCACACGTGTGCAGGCCGCCCATCCGACCCCGACACACACTAACGAGCCATCTTTAATTGCTTCTGATGACCTCTTGACAAATAGACATTTATTAGAAGCGCTATAACTTTTCAGGCCGGCCTTAAATTCATCATAAGATAAAAACTCGGCTCCTCCACAATTTAACGCCATTTTGCCCGAAGTGATCCCGGTCTCTACCCAGCCTGAGGCGAGTCACGAGTGAGGCAGGACAGGAAGCCGGAGTCACGAGTCACAGGAAGTCGGCAGTGATGATGTCATGCTTGACAAGAATCAGAGTCCGAATAACATTTTATCATATTCGGACTCGAGTCCGAATAGTCACTTCGTAAAATTAAAGCACTTACAAGAGATTGGACTCAATAGGACGCTGAGCTGCAAATGAAGTAGAACTATAATCTAAGGGGAAGGAGCTTGGAAACTGCCAGTGCCAGATGTCCGCTACGCAGCCGATGCAAAATCATCACTATTTTTCGAATCACGATCAGATGACGCGGAGGGCTTTCCCCCCTGCCAGGTCAAACAAGATGGCTGTTACTATAAATATCGGCCAATGGCGTTTAGTGTCATTCTGTAGCTATCCGCTCCCTTTTCTTCGTATCACTTTCCTCTCGTCTTTGTTCATGACTGCTTACATTTCACCCAAGTTTTTTCTTTTTTTTCATTGAATAGAATAGTTTTTTGTTTTTTTAAAACATTTCTATATATATATTATATGCCACACATATATATAGGCTATTTCAAATTGAGGTCTATTATATTTCTTTCTTAATTTTTTGTGAGACCAAGCGTGAGGTCATGAAGCAGTCACAAATTATTTGCTTCCGGAGTCAAAATTATTTGCGGGCTGAATCGGTTAAGACAGGTACTGATTAGTGTTTACATCTGGCAGTGTTTCGCTATTTCAGTGAATCAGTGAACTAACACAAAATGTCCAGCCTCTAAAAGAAGAAAAATAGTTTCTATGGATTCAGGTATTGGACAATCAAGGCATACCTAGACCAGATGATCATAAAAGACAAAAGTGACTTAGAATTTATACCGAAATCAAATTATTCTGTCAAGAAGGGTAAAACCACCAGAAACCGTGCCTTTGAGGTTGCTAAATGTGCCTTTCTTCAACCAGTGACTGAAGGGATTATTTTTATGAGTTTGTTTAAATTGTCCATGTATATTTCAAATAAATAAAAGAACAAATAAATATGACATTTAATTTGTTGAAAATCTGTTTTCATCTAGATAAAGACATGACATAAAACGTGAGGCATCATGGTAAAGTCTGATACTGGTCATTCTAATAATATGGAAGAAACTGTCATTTTTCTGCTGGTCTGGTCATTTTTATCCAATTTGTGTTTTTTGGCTCAACATCTTTTAAGTTAATTTAGCAACACCCGTAATTCTGTGATGACTTTATCAAAAAAAGATTAAAGGCACCAATAACTGTACATTTTCATTAAAAGCATTTTCTGTTTTGGTAGGAATCAATTTTGAATTTTGCCTGGGAGGTTGATTTTTAAAATAGTTAGGTGTTTATTTTTCTTTTCAGTTCCTCACTGAGCTCACAAAATTATTTACCAAGGGAAAGACTAGCGGTTCTGTGACAATGACCATGAAGAGATGTGAGTATTGTGCTTCTTGTGGATGTAAAAATCACCCATACTATGGTCTGTACGTGCCAATCCTTTTTTGTTCTTAAACCATGGCGGTGTTGATCTGCAGGTTCTCATTAAAAATTAAGGGTTTTAAAACCGGTTAGCATGCACTACAAAAAAATTAGAAGTACTGATTTCTAACTGAACATTGTGATTTCTCTTCACTTCAATCAGCAAGGTTTTTTTTGTTTGTTTGTTTGTTAAAGAATGTTAACAATTACACAGGGTACCAAATGCCATTACATGACTTTTTTGTAACATGTACAAATATGTGGCATGAATCACATTGCACACTGTGACCTGAATACAGATGAAAGAAGACAATTACAATTATCCTGGGAACTTGCAATTACACGTTAAACCAAATTTAAGGATACGACTGGAAGAAGAGGATTTCACGTTCCCTGAATTACAAAAACATACTCGAGTTAGGAAATGAAATCTTTGACAGAGAACAGAAAGGGAAGGGAATGGACTTGCAAACAGAAACCTTTTTCTTTTTTTGGATGTTTACAATCCCATATCTCAAAATGGACACATTTAAAAGGAATAAAAGGCTTTTAAAGGAATAGAATGGCCCAAAACAGGGAGATGAGTCATATGGCTCTTTGGATTTTATCTTTTCTCCTTTCATCCTATCCTTGAACTATCATTTGACATAGCATAATCCTACTGCTGAATGGATTGCCTGCAATGCTTTTTTATGAGGCCAAAGGTCTTAGCTTTTTCCACACCGGATGGTGTGAAGTTGTTCAGTTTCTTTTTAAAAGACAAGGTGAGTTTTCTCTATAACCTAACAAATATCCACACCAATGAAACCAAACTTCTCCTGTACTTAGGGCATTGCCCACTTTTGGTGTAGGTCATTATTTCTGGAAACCCCTGAAATCTGGGTTAGCCCGCTTGTCCTTAAAAATGACCAGTTATAAAGGTAAATGAAGTGCTGCTTTTGGAAGTGTCTTTCATGAGATGATTAAAATGTATACACCCTTGCCAGAGGAGAAAAGTTTTATTTGATGTTATATAATATAGTGTTACTGTTACTAAATCAGTAAGATCCTGCTCTTTTCCTGTGTGGCTCAGATGATGGAAGGACTAAGCCTAAGCCTCAAGGTGGTCTACTACCAGAGCCTAGTGAGTACAAATGCCTGGTCCGCGCCACTTTGGGCAACAGGAAAATCTCAACAGTGGTGAGTGAAATTACTGTGTTTGTCTTTTTTTGCAATTAAATTTATTTTTTAAAAGAGAAGCATTAGAATGCCTTAATTGAATGCCACAACCCTCCC